CATTCTTCATATTTCTCACAGATTCCCTCAATAAAGATATTGGCATTTTATCAATGTCCAGATGACAGTTTACATAGTACATGCATAATGACCAAGCTTCTTTCCATCACCACAAGGGACTTTTACACACAAGAAATGAGCTAATAGCCATAAATAAATAGAAGCACTATCAAAGTGCATCACAGACTGCAAGAAATAGACCTGGTTTTACCGCTGGGGGGCTTGTTTGGCTCTTTTGTTGGTGATGTTTTTATTTACCACTGTGTTTTATGCAGAATGTGATGGATGCTGCCATGTCTTTGCAAGTTCTTGTGTACCTGGAGCAAAAGGAGTTGGTCAGATGCCGTCCCCAAAGACAAGGCATCCGCATCACTTCAGGTCAATCCTTAGCAGATGTGTGAGGGCCAAATGGAAACAGACCCTCTCTTTCTGCAGCCTTTGCTTTTACAGCTCTAGCCCCAGTGCATCCCCGCTTCTTGTCAGGCTAAAATACGTGGAATAAAATGCTTCGCCAAGGGGTTGAGGACAAAGCATTCACGCTCTCAAACTGTCTTCTCAGGGCTTGGCATATTTCAAGAATAAGCCTTGTTTGGCAGCCTTAACTTTCATAAAACTGCACTCCAAATCATTAGCTTCATCACATGGACCAGCTACATAGTGGAGCCTGAAAATTCAGAATAAAGCCTTTAAGCCAACTAGCACAGACAGACATTTTTATCTCTGAAGGCTAGGCAGGATGAAATATTCACACTTGCTCTATGACATTCATTTTTACATACCTTAACCCTCATCTACACAGGAAATGTACATGACATAAAATTAAACACCCAAACTGATCAGAATGAGTCTTCTGCTCGTCTCTGTTGAAACCTGCCAGGCCCTCAGTCGTCTGCCTTCTACAGCCTACATTTCTTTATCATAAACCCCACCCTTTCCACAACCCTGCCCCAACATTTTGTAGAGATGCAGAAACTGCCTCTGCCCAAAATTACAGAATCAAACACGGAATAAAACAAGACCAGCCCTAAACCTACCCCAGGAAGTCTGCAATCGAGCTGGCTCTGAAATTCCCAGCGCCACCAACCACCATATCCCTACCCCATCTCAAATCACAGTCTAGACTGCAGACTGACTATGCACACAGCCATTCAAAAATGTGGACAAACATACTTGGAGCAATTAATGTCAGGCTTCAATTCATTGCTCAAGCTTCAGCAGCAGTACACAACCAACCCCAGTCCTGTAGCCTGCATTTTCACACTAATCCTGGTCCCTAAATCCTTGTCCATAGACAATTCACAGACACCCCCAAAATTTCAGCATTTCGCTTTCAAAACATTCAGTCCTAGCATACAGCTTACCACAAAGGGCATGGCAGGATTCAAAAATAAACACCGCTTTACAGTACCTATTTTGTGGATTGTTTAGCCAAGCTTGCTGTTGACATCTGCCAAACCCACAGAGGCTGAGGATTATTGATAGATTCAAATTCCCTAATCTGACGTTTTGGACAACCAAGTCCTTAAATCTGCTTTCTTGGATAGCTTTTGGGTTTGTCTGGAAAAAAATGGGGTTTGTGCTTGATGAAAACTCTAGGGAAACAAAATGCCAAAGAGTATATGCTGGCATTATCAATACTCCAGTATTTTTCCTTTGTTAAGTTTCAAGAAACCTCCAGATAGTTTGGAAGTTAACTTCATCTTAAATTACAGAAAATTGTAGAAATTAGAGTGGAGAGTAAATAAAGTAATCTTGCAAAACCAGATTAAAAAAAATCTCATTTATATAAGCTTCAATTTGCATAAAATAGAACAAGACTGCTATTGTCATCTGCTGGGTCTTTCAGAATGATAAATCTGAATTTCTGTACTCTTCTTACAGGATGAGTTGTAGGATGACCTAAGGAATTATCCTAAAGAGGAATATGGCCCAATAAATACTGTCTGCCCTGCCCATTATGAAACAAAACAAAACAATCAAAAATCTGTAGCAAACTAATGTTTTGCAGTGGAAGCCGACTATTCTATAATAAATTCCAGTAACTTTTAGGTGAGAATCTCAGGACAAAACAGGTAAACTAGAATAGCATTAGTTTATTCTTTCAGCAATCCTAATGGGTAAGTTTAATACTAAAGAAAAAAAAAAAATCACCCTTCAGTAAACACGTATCTTGCTACTTATTTCAATGTTGTTAAGCTTCCTGTGTAAATATTTAACACATATATAAAAAACTCCTACCACACCTTCTGTGGTTTTTGATACATTCTGTCTCCAAGGTACAAGGACACTTTAAGTCGAAGAACATGCACTAATGATAAACCTATCTGCTTCCTGAGGATACACATGATTGAAGTAGGCCTTTTTATCTTCAGCTTATCAAATAGCTCACAGGTTTAAAATGCACAAGTTTACAGTAGATTTTCAAAATACATTTTTTACAAAAAACATTCTTTATAGAGATGATGTTAGTTCTAACCTTCAAGAACAGACACAAAATTCAAAATCTGACTTAAGAATTAGATTCAAAAGGAACTGCACATTTTTAGTCTGAGGTTTTAAGGAATTTATAATTAGATGTATATAGTTACTGCCATTAGCTACACCTCAGCTAATACTTTGAATGTTTAGCTGTCGTGTTTACAAACATACCACACAGCAAACCACTCCAAATTCCACTATACATTTTATGCAATAAATCTTAGCACATTATTGGATTTTTCTTGAGTTACGGTATTGTACAGTGTTAAAATTTCATTCATTTATTGATTGTTTTAATATAATTAAAGAATATTTTTTTCTGTGAAGTGGCTACTTAAATTCTCAACAATAATTGTTTTTGGTAAGCATTTTCTCAAGATCATTTGTTACAAAACTTGACATAAAAATATTTGGCAGGCATCCTCTTAATTGACCTGACTACATGATATTAATTCAAGCAACCACAAGATCAGTTACACTTTGCCTATACAGAGTTCATTACAGAATTATTTTACTCAGTTTAAGGATTAGGACATACATCCTCTTTTGTTCCAACTAAAGCTGCATAGAAAATTATTTTTGTTTTGCCTTGAAAGAATATCTTTGCCTTTGATTCAATTCAGAGTAAGTCAGAAGTTTCTGATTATAAAATTAACCTGCCTGGAAATACAGGGATGGCTAAGTGGGTGGTACTGGAAATACAGCTGACTCGGGATTTTTTTTAATGGATTGGGTTTTCTATCATTCAGCCTTTGAATTAGAGTACTGCCATGCAGTCCCAATACCAGTAACTGTACTAGTTACCTCTAGAAACCTAAACCAATGAAGTTTCTTTTTCAAACATCTTTAAACATAGCACAAGCCATGTATGTTTCTGGCATACTACCTGACTCCCATTTTAAATGTTCAGAAATAATTCCACTGTTTCTGTGATGCTGCCCCAAGCTGCTTGGCTCATGCTCTCACCACGGGCCTTAACTCATGAGAGGAAAAGTCCTGTCTTGTATGAATGTACTGCTGAATTTGATCCTCAAGTCACATGGCAAACCTTCCCCACCTTTTCCAGTAGAACCAATGCTTGTCATTTAAAGGAGTGAACAATAACTACCCGTACTATTTTAAAGCTTTTGAGTTTGTACGAATTGGGAAAGCTACACTGTAATTCAGTCTGAAAGGTAAGTGAAGAAAGCCTTGTTTTTTCATTTTTCTTGTGCAAAACTACATCTCCTGTACTTAACTACTTACTTATGACCTTCTAAGATGTTGAACTCCTACAAAAGAAGAAAATTACACGCAAGAAACAACATTGTCTCTGGAACACCATCCCATAAACACAATTACTTAGTTGGCTTGTGTGCTAGTGCAAGCTTCTGTCTCCCCCCTCACCCTACATGTTTATCCTTAATGAAACATAAAAGAAAGAGCTAGTGAAAACAAGAGTCCTGCCCGAAGATGCCAGCAGTACCATTCCAGTGTCCAGCTTCCTAAAGGTATGCCAAGGACCAGCTCCAAAGAGATCTGGCACAGAGATCTCCATTCAGCCACCTGACCGCTTGAAATAAATTTTCATAAATATCCTCCTATGTTTAATGCAAACAATAGAACCTAGCTTAGTAAATCCTGGAAGCAAGTTGTCAGCTTTGTTTTTCCTCTTGATAAAGGTATTTAAATTTGCACATAGTTTGATGTTATGCTTCTGAAATAGAACTTACACCTCCCTGCCATGTCTAATTATGCTTTGCTGCATTATTCCCATCTTCTACACAGTTTAAACACACTCCCTGCATTTTCAGGAGGGATGTAGGGAAGTGGGTAAGGATTGAATGTTTTCTGCTGATTTTTCTCCCCAGTTTAGTTTCTAGTTTAAACACTATACAGATTCCAACCAAGATCTATAAATCTCTTAAAATAAACTGTCAGAATAAGATTTATGAAAACTCCCTATCCCTGGTGTTCTCTAACCCAATTAAAAAATCCTTGTTGATTGTTTTTGTTTCAAAATACCACCAGTCTAAAAATACTATCGCAAACAAACAGCAGTAAGCCACAGATTGTTAGCTAGGAATCAGTACAGAATATTTATCTAAATGTATCGATATGAAATGGAATATAATTCCTTGTTTAATTTTGACAGGAAAAAAAAATATATAGTTTTTGGTGTGTTTTTTAAAGGATACAAAGCTTGTTCAAAGACATCCACAAAATGCCTCAGGGCAGAAATGACACTGCCAGAGTTTCACTTATGCTCAGAATGTATGTCACAACAAAACATATTTAGCTTACCCATCATAAATATTTATTTACCTATGGTGTAAAAACACAAGTTTGACTTTCATAAATTTTTGTTTCAATTGCCAGACATGCTAAGACATCTCTCTTTGGCTTACTTTTCCAGTGTTTTTTTGTCAGGAATGACATACTTGATTCAAATTACATGTATTCCGATTACAAATTCATGAATTACTCTATTAAGCTTTAATAACAGCTCTCACATTAAATGTTTACCATTATAAAGGTCTTACCTCAAAAATTTCAAAGCCATAGATGTCCAGCACTCCCATTACCTTCTTTCTCACTTTTGTTTGTGCCTTAAAAAAAATTAAATGAGTCAATCATCTGTACATTTCATATTTGGGAATCAAGAAAACTAATGTATCTCATATGTAGGCTGTCAATTCTGTAAACTAAAATGTTAAGTATGGTTACCCAAAATACACTTAACATGAATATTTTCATAAGCTTAAAAACAGAGATGACAGCAATTTATTGAGCTGTGATACAGTTATCCACCTGTACCATGTGTAACAGCGTAAAAGCAGGAAAAATTAAATTGGCAAATACAGTTTCACTGTCCACTTTAATTTAAAGGATTTTTATTGATTTTTATTTTTTTTTAAAGGCACAAAACAGCAATACCTTAATGCTCTCATTGATTCTGGTAACAAGCCAAGAGAACAGCCGACTGTATAAATTCTTAGCCAGAGCATCACGGGCGTAATAAGCCTAAACAGAAGAAAGAAGAAAAATGTTATAAATGCTGGCCTAATCCCAAACTTTTTACATTACTGATGTTTCTTAAAGATGCTATGAACAGAGTGGGAACAGCTCAGGCAGAAGTGCCTCTTGCCTAAGCAGCCACTGGAGCCAGGCCAGGGGTGCCAGGACACTTTGGCAGCATCGGCAGCTTGCTGGAGCACCCCCCTGCCTTCCTGGCCGCAGGCTGGCTGGAACAGCAGCCAGGAGCAGGGCCCTTCGACTCCCTTCCTGCTCCTCCGGATATCCTTGGAAGGCTCACATGCTCCATCTTAATCCTAAGCAAAGGGACTTGAGCAGCTGCGGTTAGGGACATTCCTGCAAGCCTGAGCTGATGAGACACAGGTGGCAGTCACACTGGCTCTGCAGCGTTAGAGAGACAAATGCACACCGGAAGCAAGAGTTTTTCTGCAGCCCAGGGCATACAACTCACATGAAGTTACACCAGTTGCTCTAAACAAAACCAGTCTGCCACAAGACTTTCAGCATGCGTTTTGTGCAGAACTGTTTCATTTTTTCATTCTCTGCAACATTTTCCTCATCTTTTTCAGGTAATTCACACATAAAAACAAAATATCCAGTATTTTCGAACACTTAGAAACGGCCAAAGAAAAAACACACTTATGCTAGTGATATGTTTTATTCAGTACAGCCTATTAGTTGTAGTTTTTATTTGGGCAGTTATGGTTTAGTCATGTAGAATAAATTGACATTTAAAACTATTCTTTCCTTTAAAATCAGGACCTCTTTTTACCTGAGCCACATTTAGTGTTGTTGAAACTTTCTCTTGCTTGGCTTCAACCGTCCGGAAGCTGAAAGCTCTTTCCAATACAGACTGGTCTATACCCGTCAACTCGCAGATTTCCTTGAGTTCTAGCATGAAAAAGGAGAGTGTAAATATAACAAATCCTTTCGTATTATTGCTGCTTCTTCCTCGAAACTATTAGCTTTAAAGTAGTTCAGTATTTTCCCAAAACAGGTTTTCTTCAACAGAAGTGGGTGTTATCCACACTCTCTCCCCCCTGCCCTGCCAAGCAAAGTTTTCAAAAACATGAACAGCATGAGGAAACAGAGTTATTGGTTTTGAAAACACTTTCTATCTGATTATTTTTGTGAAAAAAAACCCTTTTCTTCCATTTATCACAGACTATTTTTCATTATGAAAAACTTTTAAATGAAAATAAATGAATTTTCAAAATGTATCAACTGCAAAAGCATGACCAAATGAATCTGACATTACAGGCAGAGATGCCCTACTACAAAAGAACATAAAAGCCTCCACTGCAGAATAACCAAGCAGTTACAGAAATGCATAGCACCATTTAACATTTTGGAAGAAAGTGTTAATAAAGTGGGGAAAAAAGAAAGTACAAGTTTTTTTGGAATTTCAAACGGGGCAATTGAAATTGCACAGAATTCAACCCATATTTGCCTGTGGGTGAGTTTTGGAAACAATGTAATTTAATACATCTGTAAGGATACTGTATGTCTACAGAAACTACAAAATTAATAATAACTTCAGACAAATTAGTGTTTTTCCTCCCATCACTAATCTCATCTTACCATTTTTATCTTTGATTTTACTTTCATCTAGGCCATTCACACGAGATTCAGGCTTAAATTCAATATTTCCCAATTTCAGAACGGCTGCCACCACTTCAAAAACAGACTGTGTTTCATGATCCATAAAACCAACAATCTGCATTGCGTTCTGGAAAGGGAACAGATAAAAATATGAGATAAAAGAATCTACATTTAAACAGATTATACTTGCAAAATTCACCGTTTATCTGTATTAGCGTAAATTAGAAGTATTTTATGATCACTTTTGCTACAAAAAGAACATGATATAATTACTATGCTTAGATAAGTAAGTTTTTTCATATGAAAGACATGTTAAAGAAGATCTGGCAATTGAACTGGCATGTCAGTCCAGTCCACTTCTAGGATTCGTTCAGTTTATGGGTTTCTAAAATGCAGAACCCATTTTTTCACAGTCAGATGAACAGGTACTGCTGTCTGCTCAGTCCACTCTTGCTCTAAAAGCCGGTAGCTTGCAGAATCTAAATTTGCATACACTGGGTAACAGGGTCCTGTATTCTTCTTGTCCCTGAGTACAATCAAGCAAAAACATCACAATAAATCATCTTGAGAACCATCCCAGCCCTGTTTTTCTTTCAACTTGGTCAGCATCACCTGGTTCATGAAGCTCAGTCACTGCCATCATAAGCAAATACACAATATAGCCTTTTCCATGATCTGATCAAGGGGTCTGTTTTTTTTTTTTTTCCCTTCCTTTTTTTTCTTTCTTTTGGTCTTTTTTTGTATTCCCTCTAGAAAACTCCATAAACTTGGTTCTTTGTATTTTCTAGCTGTAGCTAAGCTTCCCTGTGCAAACACGTGATACCCTTGCCTGAAGAGGGCTAGCACTCAGAAAAGACAGCCCTCCAAGCCCAGCCCAGAGCGAACAGCCAGACCAAAGGCGTAAGAACTCTGCATTAGTGTTGAGCGCTTTGGGGTTACACCCAGCCCCTGTTACTTCTTACCCTAACTGTTCTGAAGTTTGCAGCATCATCCACTCCATTCACTTTGGCAGAATCAAGGCCCAGGTAGTTGTATCTGCTGAAGTCCCGCTCCAGTTTGAGTTTGCCTAGTAAATAAAACAAAAATATCATTAGCTACAGCATTCTTGTTAGTAGCTCTTTTATCCCATAACCAGTATTGTCAAGAACTGTTGTGACTGTTAGTAGGATTAAGTTTTCTTTACGTATCTTTTAATTACAAGCCTTCTGAACAAGAACAGCCTTTCTTCATTGTTTATAATACATCATAAAAACAGTTCTGACTCAGATATCTGGATAATAACAAACCATATTTTTACTTCAGGTATTACTATTGCCACTACCACCAATAATTTGAAAAATGAATCAATATCACATTTCCCACAAAAGAAGACATGTGTGGAACAGCACATTAAGTATAAAGAAGGCTCATATCTGAAAATGGCACAAGGGCAACACTTACAGAGGAAGTCTTCTGATGCACCAGACAGTATCTGATAGAAAATGTGGAAGTTTCTTTCACCTCTTGGCTGCTTAACAACACGAGACTTCTCTAGCAGATCTAAACAAGCAAACAAAATCTCACAGGTCAGGGAAAGATTGTTGGAGCAAAAACCTTTAATATGAGTATAATCCCCCATTGTTTTCTACCTCATTGCTTTATATCATCATCATCAAATTAGAAGATGATAAATGGTAGGCACAAACCTTATCACAGTGTATCACATTAATACATATTTCTCAAATAAGCTCACTACACTTCTAAATGCTGCAGCCTATGAGCTGCAAAGAAAACTCAGTTCAGGGCAGCAATGCGCTCAAAAGACATCAACCAATTTATAGTACCACCACAAAATTAAGATTTGGTGAGAATGATTGTATGGGTGAAGGTTTGAAAAGAGCTGAAATGTTAACAGGCTAAGCACATGAAAGATGGGTACATGAAAGGGGGAAGCCAAATAAAGAAAGATTTTAAACTGAGTAATCGTGTAGCACTTCGTGATCCTCAGGTGCATCAGACCATGAAAAAATTCCCAGTGGGACTGACAGAAGCTCCATCATAAGACACTTAAAAGCGAAATGGAAAAGTGGCACTTTGAAAAGCATCGCTGCACTGACTGAGCAGTATGACAAGAAGATTGCTTCGTCCACTGCCATTAGTGACGGGCGCATTTCTAAGCCTTACCAACAAGGGTAGGAATCCAGGCAGCCAGCAGAAGCGGACTGACTTGTAACACATTGCAAACACTTCAGACTTTACATCATATTTACCATGGAGGTGACAATACAAAGGTTGCTCAGCCTGTACTGCACTGAGAGGCTGTGGTCCTCAGTGCACCAGGAGAGGGATGCAGTAAGAGAACAGGTATCGGTGTCGTTCACTGGTTTTGTACAAAAGAAAAAGTTTTTCCTTCTTTTCTCACTGGCACATGAGGGCTCCACACCATTTTTCCAGGTAGCAAACCCACAGTTCCCACTATACAGTTTCTCTTAAGCTACACATATTCAGCAACATAAAGACATTAGGTGCCTCATTCCAAGTGCACAGCAAAGGAGTTCCTCCATGCACCTACCACCAGTCCGTACCCACCACAGCTCGCTTTGACTGGGGTTAAGTTCTCTCTAAGCTGCGCCCATGCGAGAAGAAAGCCCCCAAAAGGGAAATTACCACAGCTTAGATGTCACTGTTCAGAAGAGCTTCCACAAAGTTGAGATGAGGTTTTACGAAGGTAAAACTCAGGGAACATCAATTCATTTAAGGACACGTGGGGTTGCTAAACACTTCCCCTGCCTGGCTACTATAATATCTGATGGAGATGCTACTACACCTTTCCTCGGATTTCCATTCCTCCTGAAACTGAGCCTGCTTAGTCTTCGCAATCCGGAAAGTTGGAGGTGGTGCTCAGTGCAGCCATCTTAGTGCTGCAACCCCCCCTCCAGCCCCATCATGGAGGAGCAGTTGGGGAGCGGATGCCTCTGTGCCGGGCTGCAGCCCCTGGACTCCGCCGGCTTTCTGGCACACCAGGGCTTAGCCTGAGAGGGAGCATCTGCCCTGGAGCTTGCTCCGTGAATGGAGAAGCAAGGAGGAGTGCAAAAGGGTGTATTTGTATTTCACAATGTTGCGCCTGTGTTGCCTGCTGTAATTACCTCAGCTTACACCCTTTCTTGTGGAATAGGAACCAAAGACCAAACTTTAACCCACAAAATTATACAAGCCTCAGCAGGCCCTCCTCCAAATAAACTACAGCAAGACATTCAAAAACCAATTTCTGCTCCAATAATTAGCCAGTGACAACAATGACAAAACTCAGACAGTATTATGAATCTTCTAGTTGGCTTACAGTAGGATGAGTTTCAAGTATTTTACAGACCAGCTGAACTACGTTATTCCATAAGCATGCAATTGCTCAAGAGAAGAAGTACAGCCACTGTAGTAGGAAACAGTGAATATAGCTCCCAACAGCCAGAGCATCTGACTGTATGAAGACGAATACCTCTTCACCACTTCAGAACTTTAGCCTTGTTTGAACAAACATTTGTGTTTTTAATAACTCAATAACCCTACAGTCTCTTTCCTTCCAAAGGTGGCCCTGTTTCAGCACCTGGAAGTTTTGCGCATTCTGATGACAAAGTACACCCAAGATACACCCAAACAAGTGACTGTCCCATATTGCCAGCAGCTCATCTTTACATTAGGATGGGGCAGGTTACAGATTTCCACTTTTGCTTTTTTTTTTCTTTTTTTTTTTTTTTTAAATCACAGATGACTAACATCTGATGGCTGATGCTATGTTGGAAAGGCACAGATTAGAAGGTGTAGTTCTCACCAGCAGCCTAGTGTACAACCTCAATACCTCTGACCTCACCTAAGGTTGGGGCTCCCCTCCTCGACTATCCAGTTAGTTAGCCTAAATATTGGTTACCTGATCCTCTCTAGTTTTTAATTCATAACTAAAAGGGAGAGGCTGGCCCACCATCCAAGCGTTAATACTTGGGCTGAGAAAGGCAAGGTGAGCGCCAGGCAGTTCAGAGTCACGCTGGCTGTGAAGGTTCTCCAGTGAAGTGTTGGAACGGATTGCAGCTGAATTTAATCTCAAAGAAATAAACAACTTCAGCTCCTGCGGTGGCTACACACACTTCAGGAAACAGCTGTATTTTCAAAGGATGTTGAAGCAATGAAGTTTGTGAAGTGGTTTGGCTTATTTGGATTTAAAAACATTCTATATATAAATTTACTCAAACGTTGTCATAAAAGCTTAGCTACATATCTTGGCAAAATATTATATGTAAGCCTTCTAATTACATGCATGCCTTCAGCAGATTTAACAAACAGTTTCTTGAGCATATGTCAAATGAGTTATGTTAGAAGGATAACTCTTAGCTTTTTCACCACAGTTTATCTTACTTATATCTTTTTAGAAGCAAGGAGGTTAACTAATTAACAGTCAGTTTTCCGAAGTCCCAATATTCCATATTCTGTCAGCCTTCGTAATAGAGGAAAAAGGCTCCAGAAAGCAGTTACTGGCAAAAAACCCCGGTATTTACCTTAAAAAAGCAGTTGTTACCAATTCGTTTTAAAGCTGTATTCATTCTCTGCTTTTTTTCTTTTATGCCCTCATGCAGAATGAAATCAGAATGGTAGAAAAGATCCAGACCATCTGCCCTACTCCTAAGAAAACTTCTTCCCTTTGTTTGCCCTAATTTGGACTTTAATAAATCAACCAAATACATTTTCCTTAAAGCAACCACTGCACAACAAGTAACTTTTGTGTTAATTCTTACGCAATTACAAATTCTGTGGACTGAAGAGTCAAAAGAGAAGAGACAAAGATGCACATCAGATTTCTGCATGCATCCACTTGGTAATTCTGTTTACAGTGGCATGTGTGGACAAATAGTGCTTATCTATATAAAAACACACACAAGCAAAACCCCCAAAACTCTATGCATATTGCATTTTGTTATATGTTCTATGTAAATTATGTATAAAGACTACACAGAATTATCTAGAGAGAAGATACAAAACTGAATATGGCGTATTTATGGATTAGGTATTCTTCCTGCACTATCTAACACTGCTTCTGCTTGAACTGAAACATTTAACATTTTATGTGCATCAAAGCAACTGTAAAAATTAAATTGTTTTGGAAAGGTCCATATTGTCTGAATATCCATTGATTCAGATGACTCGATCCAGCTACATCCCTCAGGTTCTGAAGATTATTTGTTATTCCTAGATAACACTGGTGTGAATGCAAGGAATCTGTGTAAGCATCCTGCTAAACCATTCGACCAAACTCAACATGAAAGAAAAAAAGAAATAGATGCTGATTACCTCTGGAAACTCTAATGTACAAATTTACATTATTTCTTTTCAGTTACTTGAGACATGAACTTGAGTGATGCAGAAAAAAATTAGGATATTTGTATTTCTCTAAATATACTAGAAATTGAACCAACATTCAAGAAAGGAATAAGTAAACACTACAAAAAAAAAAAAAAAAAAAAAAAAAAAGGCAACACTACCTTGTTACATTCTGAATAATCCAGAAAAAGTTTGGTTTAGTCATATTCTCTTCAGCTGGCCATGACCAAGGACCTTTTTAGCTATTCAGCCAAAGTTACAGAACATTTTCTAGTCACGGAAGCTTATCTCTATACCCACCTTATGTTAAATTATGTTTTCTGTTTTTCTACCTCGATTCTTCAGCAGTGATCAAAAAAAGTCACTGAATAAAAAGAAAATACAGTAGTGGTTTCTCAGGAACTTTTTCACATTCCCACCAAGTAATAATAATGTTCTCTTGAATGAAATGATCCATAATTGTATCAAACAAAACCTACTATCTGGGCAGTATGTGCAGTGAAAAAACAACTATTGCACAATTATAGGAGTCTTAAATCCCGATTACTCAAGTGATAAGTGATGTTTAAAAATGAGCTAGTCAAAATGGTTAGTGTAGTTTGTTGGGTCTTTTTTTAAAAAACACTTCCTAATTTAGGCAAGGCAATTGCCTAAAAGGGGCAGTTGTGCTAACTGAAACACCATGGCAGATGTTGGAGCAAGTTAAGATTAAAAAGTCGTAACAAGAATGAGTATCTCCTTCCAAAATATCTAGCTGTAAAATTTGAATTGTATTTCCCTGAGCAAAGGAGATTACTAACAGCAATCACATAATTAAAATCAACAGCCTGAGTTGTTGGTTTCTCACTAAGTGGGTAATTGCTTTTGTCTTTTAAAACGAACGAACAAGTTGTAAAGAAGAGTAAGTTGTAAAGTTATCACTCCCACTTTGCTAACGTAAAAAAGTTATTGCTTTAGATAAATACGGGTTTCTTTCATGTTGTTGTTGGAAAAATGGCTAAACAGGGCACTTTCTTAACCAGTTATTATTTAGACTTTAAGTACACTGTGCTGGTTAAAAATGGTGTTTCAAAAGCAGGCATTCCTTATACTGTACTTCATCTGCACCACTATTATCTTCTAGTTAATCATTAAATCACTGAAGGCCTTAGGCGGATTAGGAAAGATCACCTAAAACTAAAAAACCATGTATCTTGCAGCAGGAAATCCCAGATGAAATGTGAAAATTTAAGACTTACAAATATTCTGGGAAAGATATCACAAGATCCCTACTTTTCAAAAAGGCTACACAACTGCAAGTGTAAAACATTTCAGACTGTACCATGAAGAACTATTTCAACCATAAAATTAAGTGTACACAAAACTAATGAACCAAGTGCACACACAAACATCTCCTTGAGCACAAGTCAGACTGAGCATCTGTGGATGGAGTCATATTCTAGAGCTTGAATAAGCTATTGCCATTAGCACCTATTACTTTGAAAGCAAACATACCCACTTTACATAAAATATATTTTATTCTGTAATTACAGGTGGAAAAGAAACTACTGTTTTCCTTTCTCCTGCTTCCATCGCCACTAACGTGGTAGTTACAATAAATGGAAAACTAAGAATAGTATTGATGGTGTCTGTAATTTACTTCCACAGTATTACACTCAGGTGAAAGCAAGTTACTTACCCAGCACTCCAACTGCCTTTCTTCACAAGTGCTCTGGAAAAAACCCTCTGAGCACATAAGCACTGACAAGAGCGTTCACTGCAACAGCAGCAACCATAAACTTCCCACAGGAGGACAGGAAGAGCAGATGCAACTCATACTCAGTTCAGTGAGAGAAAATGCAAATGCAATTCACCTGTTTGTAAATGCATTTTAGGGCACAGCATACCTTTAGGCAGGGACTGGTGTTTGTTACAAAACAGAGATGGGATATCTCCAGCCACAGGTGACACAGGTACAGCAAGGGTTTAGCATTCAGGAGAGCTCACAGATGTGAAACAGGTCAGCCCGTGAATGGATGGGCTGGCTGTTAGCTTGCACTAGGGCTGCACACCTCACCTTACACAGATCCCAGCATCTCCCACCCATTAGGAAAACAAGCCAGGACCTTCACAGAAAAATAACAAAAAGGGAGGATTCAACTGACTCAGGCTTACTACGTGCCTCAGCTTACTCAGCCTTCTTCACCCTTCTGCTCACCCCCATGCCCCAGCTGCTGCCGACATAGGATCAAACAAGTGCAGCACATGCTACCTGAAATCATTTTTCTTTTTCAGTCTAAGGGGAAAGATTTCCTGACTGAAGTAATACTCTTAAAGATTGCATAAATCACGTTAATCTCAAATTTTCCACTCTCAGTTTCTTTTCATGGCTGTACACCATGATATAGCAATATGTCGGATGCCTTACAAATCAGTGCGCTCAGAAGCTCTGAGCAGCCACATAATGTACATGTAATGAGTCTATATGTATTTTATGCTGTTCAAACATAAAATTATCTTAAGTTTGGGAACATACTAGTTCTGACTTAAGAGATGTTACAAGCCTCTTCCATTACAATCCCTTCTATTTTATTATTCCCATTCTAATTTTACTCAAAATATTTACCTTTCAATTTACAGCACATTAAACATTTCAGATTTCTCAGCTCTTGCTAAAGCCCATGGACTTTTCCATTCACTGCAAACCAGACAGCACCGGCACTGCAGTATGCACCGTCATGATAATTTTACCCTCTAGCTCCATCCCCCAAAAGGTTCACTCATAGGTGAACCCCTGTCATTAAGAAGGAAGAGGTCACTGAAGGGCACCAAGAGAATGGCCCAAGGGGAGGTCACAATAGCATCAGTCGTGACATGGAGGGTTCGCGGGCAGATTGACTGGCCTTTCATAGAGCTCCACAGCACTTTGGAGTAGGAAAGACCAGACCATTTCAAACAAGACCTTTTAGCCTAATGGGTCTCTGCTTATCTTTACCAGTCTGATAAAATTAGTAGCTTATCTTCATTACCCTTCTTGCCACCAAAATATACTAGGTGTTCACTGTGCCTGCTTCCAGGCTCTCACAGTATGAAGTACAGCTTGGTGACGCAGGCTGCGATCCAAAAAGCCCACTAACTTCATTGATGTTTGGAAATCAGGCTCATCAACTATTAAAGTTTAATCAAAATATTATGGTATCATCTTCACATCATGTTAACACCAAACCAACAGATGGTCAGAAAGCAAAGAATATTTATGAACAAACTAATCATACTTTCCCTTTTAAGGATAGGAAACTTCAGCACTACTTGACTTCTACTTAATGAATTAAGACAACAAATTCTAAATTTGACTAAAACCAGAGAAAATTGTGAGTAGTTTAAAAGAATTTAAGCCCCCGATATCTCCAGAATGGTGACATCTCACAACAGAAACATTTCTGTTGCAATGCAATGCTGCAGACGTGTGGAAAAGATCTAAGGCAGGACAACAAACTTGCTTTAAGACTGCATAGAATTCAAACTCTCTTTTAAAGAGAGATGGATGCACTACCAAATTTTGCGAACATTAAATCAAAGATGAGATATTAGCACACAGCAACAGGAAGTCAGTATTTACCTGTGACATACCCTGTCAACCATGGGGTCTTTCATAGTTCAACAAGTAACCTCTTTTCCACAACAGGGCTTACACGTCTTTATTTTAAAATTTAAATTCCACTTCTTGCTATTACATATTTCTTACATGTGAGAAGACAGGGAGAATGCCTAAAATAGAAAACTTTTAGGAAGATCTAAAAATATGTCTCCCCATGATTACGTATGTCATAACATCATTACAATTACATGTAAAATTATAATTACAACATGCAAAGATTTATAAGGTAGATAAACTACAGAGTAGCTATTTCGATTGCCTTTTGATATGATGCAATATTTTAATTAGGTGACTCTGCACGGTACTTTCAAAGACAAACCGGTGAATGTCCACTCTACAAAGGAGGGTTCATTTTTATGTATCTATTTTGAATATGAAATAAAAAGAAACAAACACCACAGCTAGCCTGCCAGAACCTTTTCGTTCACATTTAATTATCAATGAATACACTGAATATGTTTGGCCTCTAATTTCATTGACTGCCAAATGTCAAAGTTAATAGATAGCCATAAACACTTAAACAGTGATTGCTTTGAGTTTCAAGATGTACTCTGTTGCAAAAATCATGCTCTTTCAGGCACAGTTCCAAAAGGTGACGTGGTCCAGAAAAAATGTTTGCCCTATGAAAAAAACTCAAACCCTATGTTTATGCGTAGAATTCTTCACAACGTTTTAAAATGTTTATATTATATATGGAGAGTTCAGTTCACCTTGGATGATTGTCATTATTTCACAACCAGTAAAATTCCAATGGAGTCAAAAGTCAGTCTTTAGAAACAGCGATGAATTTGGCTGAGTGGGAAGAGAGGTCAAGGCTAGGTCAGTGACACCTAGTATAGTCACTCACTGCCCTCCTCCATCCCCTTTCAAAAATAAGAAAAACAAACAAATGTAGCTTTATATAGCACAGAAAAGCAATTTCTTTTCAAAGCTGCATTTAAACTCTTGAAAGGAAAGCAAGTCAAAGCATCCTGGGCTGGCATTTGGTTCCCAGCCTCTTTCTTCCCAAGAGAGCTGGTTAAAATTTCTGAATCGCTATAGATTTCGTAGCAGCATCCTCACGTCAGGTAACAACCTCCAAGGCCACCTTTCTCCTGCCTGAACGCAACAGCTGTTCATCCTCTTTCATGATAAGCCTACTTTTAACTTCTTTTAATCATGAGGTGTGTTAAAAGTAGTACAGAATGCTTTGATTTCAAATAAACATACCCACCTCGTGGTGTTCTCCAGCATACTTTGTATCGCTCTTACAAATTACAAATCAGTGTAACTCAGACATCATCTGCCATAAACACATGACCCATCACATCAAGTAACACAACTGATCCCAGGGATTCAAGTACAAAAAGAGCCTCAGATACCCTTATCCATCTGCTACCAGCTTCAGAGACAATATACAAACCCACGCACATTACTCCGCATCTTTTAAACAATACAGTACATTCATTATTCATGCTTACTTCAAGTCTGTTTTCACTTACTCTAAGGTACACTATTCAGTAGAAAACAATAAAATAAAAAAGCAGAATTTATCACATAATGGATTAGAAAAATGCAGCTGATCTTTTCAATAATTTAACCATCTTTCTTCTCAAACAAAACATTTCAAGCTGTTAATATGCTGATACCAAGTGTAATACTCACAGTTGCTTATAACTCCTCCAAGTGGGTCACCCTTGAAATCAAACTCAATATCCATGTACTTTCCCTGTGAAAGCAACATATTTGAAGACTGTAAGTTCTGTTTAAGAAAAACTGCTCAAGTCATTTTTTACGTTAGTCGGTCATTTTACAGGCTAAAAGAGCAATCTGGCAACCTCCTGTACACTCCGTCAAATTCTGAAAAATAGAAAACAATTCAAAGCTTCTAAGAGAATTGCATTATCACAGCCAGAGATTTTCATGAGAATAGCTTTAATCAGGTTTGTAATGCAACCCAGTAATTTGCTCAGTTTCTAAAGTTATGGGAAGAAAAAGCACGTTACACAAACTTTCACCAGAACGCCAGGAACACTAAACAATACTTGTGACCATGTAGGTATTACCATGCTTATTAACAGAAGAATGATGGGAAAAATTATCTTCCACACAGACTTATTTTCTCAGTGTAAAATCTTCTCTGAGTGTGGATCAAGGCCGTTGAAGGACAGCTGCTCGGTTTGGATTTGAAGGACTGGCTGGCAATGATTACTGTTAGTAATCGTGGGGTGTCTGTCCCTAAGCGTGTGCCTGCCTTGTAAAAGTGATGGATTTTTCCGACTGAACTCTTTGCCTCGTAACTCAGGAGACTGGCGGCAACAATTAACAGGCTGTCACCGCAAAAGCGATTTCATTTTCAGCTGTACTGGCGCAGTGCATTTCCTTGACTTCTGTTTGACTTTTCTGAAGATCGCTCTGGTCCTTGCATCAGTTTAATTTACATGACAAGTGTTTAATGTAGTAACAGCTATGTTTAACAGCGACAAAATGGACAGACCCATACTGTGTAGAAAAGGCAAAAGCAGCGCAGCTCACATTGGTGAGGAAGTTTAGAAATAAAAATTGCTGGTAGTAATTCAACCAAATTCCACGAGCCATGCACAGAAATGATCTCATCACCCTCCGGTGCTTACTTAACAGAGGACAAAAGCGACCTATTGAAAAGAGAAGCCTGGTGTTTGTACTTCCTTATTCACTGCATTTAGGAAGAGCTTTCTTTTTTTCTTTCTCTTTTGGTTTTAATTACAGAATATAAAACCCAAGCACTTTACATTGACTCCCTCAAAGACATTTTCTAATTTACTGGGTATTTTGTCAAGATTGTCTTGACTCTACTTCAACTCTATTCTTCTCCTTGCTGGCAGCTGAGGCAGGCTAGACAGGACAGTACTTGTACTGTCTTGTTTGAAGTTAACTCTGAGCCGATTCAAATTTCTGAGATAAAGAATTAAATCAGATAATTAAATTTTAATTTCCCAAGGACTGGGCCAGCTGGATGTTTCCAAAAGTATTTTTAGCTTTGTGTTTATAAGCAAGGACTTGAAAAGCAAAATACTAGTTGGTTGCACTTTGTCCTGGAAAGACTTCTGTTTGCAAACGGCACCTCTTCTCCTCTTCGCTGTCTCCTCCTCCTTTCTGTAGTACGTCAACTCTGATAGCTGCAGTTTTTCTACACTTTCTATCAAAAGACATTTTCTACATTGCCTCAAAGTTTGGCCCTGACCTTGCTTGCGTGGACACTTGTGGAGCCTGCAAGGCCTGCGATGAAGACCTTTTGCTCTGTTCACAAGCAGGGTCAATGGCAGCTGCAGAAGCAGCGTTTGTAGCTGTGTGGAAACAGTACCATCAACCCTTGAGAATCAGAAGGGAGAGGGACAGAAGTCTCCCATGCGGGAAAAAAGCCACTCTCCAGTGTCACCATATCCCAGGCTTTTATCCATGTGCTTTTACTTGCAATGCACCATTTTTCCACTGTACTAATTGTCTTCTGTTGTCTGCTTCCCACATTCCACTCTATATTATTATTCTGCACACAAGTGAGCAAATTACAAAGTTGCATTCAGTCTTCTGACTTTAGCAGGAGAAACTGTGATGAATACTCACACTTCTGTCCCTCCCAGCTCTAGTTTCAACCTTTAACACACACACAGTTGTCAATGGCTATAATTCCACATTCAGTCTCATGCTAACCCCCCCCAAATTCAATCAGTTGACTATAAAGAATACAAGCAAAAAAGTAACTTTACAAATGTTTGTATTAAAAGTAAAGTTGTAAACACAGGTTGAAACACCACAGAGAGAAAATAAGAACCTGAAGTAGAAATTTTAACAAAAAATTATATACATATAGATGGAAAATGAGATCATGCAGAAAGACTACTTGCTAGGCATATGGTCACTGACATTAAAGCCACCAGTGCCAGAAAATTAAATAATCCAGTTGCGCTGTAATTATGTTTATATCTGCTTGCAGATTGTCATTTCCTACATTTTTTTTTAACCTCTGCTTTGATTCTCCATAGAACTCTATGCCCACATCAGAAAACATGATTTCTAACAAGGAGGTGAACCAGGGGTGACTGCTAACAACGCACTACTACCACACTGGGGAAGAACATGCTTGAATGTACCAAACAAAACACTGATTACTACTGGAGGTGTTTGCCTTCTCCAAATATCACAGTCCTCAGACAACTACAAGAAAGTTCTCTCTCCAAATTATTCATTCCCTCCTCATAGATGCCTTGATGGCTGATAAAAGGTAAAATAGAAAGAGCCAACAACGTAACATGCTCCCCAAAAAGAATTTAAAATTCAGCCTTGAAGAAAATACTTACAAATCTAGACGAGTTGTCATTCCTCACAGTTTTGGCATTTCCAAAAGCTGGAGAAAGAGAAAAACAAATATGACAACCAAATCTATCAGTAAAAAAAATAATTAAATGCTTAATTATCTCTGACTGTTTATATATTTAAAGGAATTGTGGTCTTCTGAGAAACACTACCCTGTTCATTGCATGGGTATCAGTCACTGCGGATAGACAGAGTGTGACAGACAAGATCAGAAATTAGAAAACACCTATGGAAGTCCAAAGCAGTTTTGTCTCAACACTTCTTTTATTTAAAAAAATGAAAGAAAAACATACAAGGGGAAAATCTTCCAAGACAAAACTGCACCTGGATTGAGCATATATCCTTGGGGGTCCAAATAATAAAATTTAAATTTTTAATACCCCAATAACTTTTAAAATAGGAAATACTTCTTTCTTTTCAGTTCAGAAAAAGAAAAGTATCTCTGTTCCCAGAACTGAAGACAGTAAAGGATGGGGTCTGGAACTGAAGGAACTACAGAATGACACTTAAAAATTGTTTGCATGGGACAGTTTAATCAATGGTTTGAAACTGATTTACTTACACTATTCCAACACATTCACCCTCACTTAAGCTGAATGTTAATCAGCTGAAATAAGTCTGATTTACAAAGAAAGTTTAGAACACTCTCTTCAGCTTGACCTAAACTAGTTTTTTGAGTTTTAATTTCTTTTGCTAAAGTTTTCTGACAATGAAAACTCTCCAAGAAAGGACTTCCCAGAACCATGTTTAGATGAGCAGCCACCAGCTTAGAACATAGGCAGGCCAAGAACTCAGACTGGAGGACAATTCAAGCTCTTAACATCACACAATGTCAAAGCACCCCGAGTCAAACAGGAGTGTCCCCTGCATTGCTAAGTATAGCACTCCTACTCCAACAGAAGACTTTATTTATCCCAGTATTTATTTATATAGCGTATATATTTTCAAAGATCAAGTCAAGTCAATGTTTTTTGGACAGAAATAAGTACATGCTTTTAGGCTTCAACAAACTTGCATGAGTAGGCTTATTCTTGATCAAAGAACTGAAGCCAAAGGGAAAAGTTTGTTGCTCCTGAAGGCCAAGGATAAGTGAAAGAATTGTTTTAAAATCTTTATGCCCTGCAATAAATCATCTTTTCAACAACCAAATCTCTGAGCTGCATTTTCTTAAACACAGTGTGGAACAGTAGAGTCATTTATAACTGCACAGAATCAAGCACAAATGTCCCATTATAAAGCATGAGACACATTCCTCAGTTTTCCCTTAAGTTCATTGTTTCTAAAAGTTAATTTACAGTAGCAACTGTACTTAAAAAAAAAAAAAGAATTCCCATAAGATAAATTATGCATATGTAACATTTATGTCATTTTCTTGCACTGCAGCTCAACTGAAACTGAACTGCATAACCAAAGAAAAACAAATCTAACCACAAATTCTTAATTTCTGTCTAAAATGTATATAAGCAGCCAGGCTTGCTCAGCAGCCTCATGGAATAATCCAGTGTCCTACCTTCCAAAAAGCTAAATAGGCAGTTACCGCTGCACCAAGTAGAACAAATAATACCTTAAAATGATAAGACCCTCTTTCGTAAGCTTACTGTATTCCTCTTGTATTAAAACAAAGATTCACAAACCAAAAAGAAATCCAACAAATTTGGCAGTCGCCAAGGAGAAATCTGGCTTTGGTAAGAAAAGTCTCTGTCCTTCCCATCATACTTCTGTCTACATCTGAAATCCACCTTCCAGGACAGTGATAAAAGCAACACAGCTCTTTGCTGTGAATCCAAAGGAATGGAAGATTGCAATACCCACTTCAGCTTGAAGTGGAACATCTCTGATCATCAAAGAAAGGCTTATCCAGCATTTTTATTATTCATAAATTTTAACATTTCATCCTTTCTTTACAAATCTTTGCTCACAATTTTTGGTTTGTGTACAGTCAATGACCACATTTTACCCATCCAAGTTCACCACTGCTCTCAGCCCACTTTTACATTCCCTTCCCTTTTTTTATCCCCCCTACCCCTTCTCACTTGTATAATACATAGAGTGCTTCCTCCCTATAGACTCCAAACCCTTGCATATACATATAGATAGCTAGGCAATAAATAAAATGTTGACACTCAACAGTCTTACACACACTGCATATCATCTGGCCATAATACAAATACATAATACAAAATTATTCTACAGCAGTCATGAGAATTTGTCTCGGCATCACAATAGCTTAGAGAACTGTGGGAAAGACCGAGCCAGGAATCAACACAATAGACCTAAGTAAGTCAGTGCTAACCAAGGCACTTCTGAAGGCAATTATTAGACAATGGGAGAAAACTGCAAGCTTTGAGGATCATATATCCTATCTCCAGGAAAAAATGAAGATCCTGTTTCTGGCAGCCAACATCTTTAAATTAAAATGACTAATTAAAATATAAAAAGTCTTTCATGGGAGAGCAGGAAAGGCAGTTGTCAGGAAGACGGGCCAACAGTCACCAGACCCAGGGAACAATAAGTCTCAGGGAACAACAGGCATGCATATGGATTGGCTTAGTTTTTCTAAGATCCATTCCTTCACTTTTTTCTAAAAGTTTGGAAGGAAATGAATCATAGGGACTGAACTGAAGTTAAGTCTTTCGATACAGCCAAGCACCATCAAGGCAGGGTTAAGAAAGGGTACGCCCTCAGAGAGCAGCAGGAGGAGTCTAGGAAATATGACCTAACTTCCTAAGCTCTCACTTCATGAGGCAAACAATTTTCTTCTCATAGAATCTAGGTTGGAAAAGACCTTTAAGATCACCAAGTCCAACTGTAAAACTAACACTGCCAATTCCACCACTAAACTGTCCCTAAGTACCAGGGATGGTGACTCCACCACCTCTCTAGGCAGTCTGTTCCAATGCTTGACAACCCTTTCAGTGAAGAAATTTTTCCTAATGTACAACCTAAACCTCCCCTGGTGCAATTTGAGGCCATTTCCTCTCATCCTATCACTTGTTACTTGCAGAAGAGACCAACAGCCACCTTGCTACACCCTCCTTTCAGGGAGTTGTAGAGGGTGATAAGGTCTCCCTTCAGCCTCCTCCAGGCTAAACAACCCCAGTTCCCTCAGCTGCTCCTCATAAGACTTGTGCTCCAGACCCCTCACCAGCTTCATTGACCTTCTCTGAACATGCTCCAGCACCTCAATATCCTTCTTGAACTGAGGGACCCAAAACAGAACCCTATATTTGAGGTGCAGCCCCACCAGTGCCAAGTACAGGGGGACAATCACTTCCCTGATCCTGCTGGCCACACTATTTCACATACCAGCCAGGATGCTGTTGGCCACCTTGGCCACCTAGGCACACTGATGGCTCATAATCAGCTGCCTTGACCAACAGCCATTTTCCACCAGGCAGTTTTCCAGCCACTCTTCCCCAAGCCTGTAGCATTGCATGGGGTTGTTGTGACCCAAGTGCAGGACCCAACACTTGGCCTTGTCCAACCTCATACAATTGGCCACGGCCCATCAATTCAGACTGTCCAGGTCCCTGTGTAGAACCTTCCTACCTTCCAGCAGATCAACACTTCCACTCAGCTTGGTGTCATCTGCAAACTTACTGAGGGTGCACTCGATCCCCTCGTCCAGATCATTGATAAAGATATCAAACAGAACTGGCCCCAGTACCGAGCCTTGGGGAACGCTACTTGTGACCGGTCACCAACTGGATTTAACTCCATTCAGCACCACCCTTTGGGCCCTGCCATCCAGCCAGTTTTTTACCCAGCAAAGAGTACGCCTTGTCCAGGCCATGGGCATCCAGTTTCTCAAGCAGAATGCAGTGGGAAATGGTGTCAAAGGCTTTACTGTAAGTCTACGTAGACAACATCCACAGCCTTTCCCTCATCCACTAAGTGGGTCACCTTGTCATAGAGGTAGATCAGGTTGGTCAAGCAGGATTTGCCTTTCATAAACCCATGTTGTCTGGGCCTGACTACCTGGTTGTCCTGAACGTGCCGCGTGATGGCACTCAGGATGATCTGCTCCATAACCATCTCTGGCACTGAGGTCAGACTGACAGGCCTGTAGTTCCCTGGATTCTCAGGAAAACCCCCCTATAACTGAATAAAATCTTGTAGCTGTCTTTACAGAAAGCATCTCCTATGCTTTTGGACACCAAATAACAATGAAACAACAGATACAGTTTTGCAAACCAGCTCAGCCGGAAAGCTGACACACACAATAGGTAATACACTCATACACGCTCTATGAGATTCTCACCTTCAAGAACTGGATTTGACTGCAAAAGTTGTTCTTTTACTTGATTAACCTCCGCCCCTTTTCCACACACAGCAGCGACATATGACATGACAAGTTTGCTTGCCTCTGGGGGGGGAAAGCAAAATAAAACAGTGATAAGTATTGGCTAATAGGCCATAGAATGATTTGCAGACTTGATCGCCATCACATTTTCACCATGCCAAACAGGAACTGTAAGTACATTTCATTTCAGTTTTCTTCTGCATTGTTGTACCATCCAGAATTGAGGAAGGACCATATCCTGCTATGAGACCCCCGCCATCACATCAGCAGTCTTGTCGACTTAAATACCTAGAGCCCTCCCAAGCTAAAAAAGCCGCCAGTGCATATGGCGCATTACCCGCTACTTTTTCATTTAGCCTCAGTAAGAGGCATTCAGCAAGGAAAAAACATTATATGTAGCTGAGACGTTGCAAATGTTTTAATCTAGCCTGAAAAAATAGGCCCAAGCAGTTTCAAGATACAAAAGTCAACCAGTTTCGATCAGCAGATTCACAATAACACAAGCGTAAACAGACACCACTACACACATGTAATTACAACTGTAAAGTACACTATGAGTAAATGAGTAATTGCAATTCACCATCACATAACATGCAGTCTGTTTCAAAGTATAATGAACACAGAAAGTGAAGCATCCATTTAAACAATGAAACTAATTTGAAGTTACAAACTTTTAACAAAGTCTGGAGCAATTTTCAGACTCTCAAAGCTGGGTTCATATGGGTGTCAATCACCCATATACAACAGAAACAAATATTAAATAATCCACTAAATCCAGTAAAACCCTTATGTTTTTGCTGGTCAGGACAAAGAGCAACTGAAAGAGAATTCTGTTTATAAACAGAGTCTGTGATGTTTAGTATGATGCAAGATAGTGAAATTTGAGGCAGTATCAGCTGACATACAATGTAATTACTAACAGCTGGAATCCCTGTCAACTCAACACCGTGGTCACAAAAAACCCATTACTTGTTCTTCTGAGATCTGTTACAAATGTAAGGGTTTAATTTCAGGAAAGAACTGACAAACAAGAAGTTATCCCTTGGATTTTGACTCTTTCCTGTTTAATCAAATTTGTTTGCTAGTATTAAATTACTATCCCATATTGTAGAGAAAACTGAGCAAACCTGCAACACAGGAAGCAAGCAAGAAGCAAGAACGATGGGGTTGTCCATAAGGCCTCCCATCTCCTTTAATCGCACCTCGAACCCAGCTCTCATTTTTAAGAATCCATTCCCTTCAGAGCTTGGAACTACCAAATTATTTGATTTGATACATTCCTTAAAACAGTCAACATCTTTAAGTAGAGCTACTCAATTACTGAGAGAAGAAAGCACTGAAGGAGCAAAAAAAAGGTGTTATAAAATAATATGCTTTAAGATAACACATAATGACTTCGAGACAGGCTTTGAACACCGCTGAAAGAAAATAAAGACCCTTTCTTTTATTAGGAACTCTGGTCCAATAAAGACACCAGGAAGGGAAACATCACCTTAACATCTAAAAACATCTAAATACACCATTCATTCTGGTAATGGACCATGTTTTCTTGCACAATGTTACTATCGATTAGAAATATAAACATGCAGTGAAACAAGAACAAAATTTGAAGTAAATTAAAAAACCCAACTGATGACAGTTCAGTTTCCATTCTTCTAGCCCAAACAATGTCAAATGTTCTGGCTACCAAAAATCTAAGCCAGAGTTACATAGGATCTGTACTAACAAGTTTGTTTCCTCCCCTGTTCCCCTTTTATTTTTTTGAAATGAAAACTTAACTTCTCAGCTAATAGCCCCATTTCGGCAACAGTAGTTACATCAAATGTTAGACAGAACAGCACAGATTCCAAGTTGATTACTGACTTGAATTTCAAACTCTATATAATTCTGTACTTACCTTTATAAAGGAGTAATTCATATTATGTCCCATATGGCTACGAAAATTACAGAACAGTAAAAATCTCTATACAAATCTGAATCTACCAGAATATTCTCTACAAATAGAGAAGTTCAGAAACTCAACCGCTGCTACACTTTTCAACTGAGTAAATGAATTAATAAAAGGTGGATCTCAGTTGTATGAGGTGCTTGATAATTCACAGTTCCTGAGGAAATTAAGACATTAAACAATACCAGTGCAGAACTCCTTTCTAAAGTTTGAACTCCTAGACAGAATCCCTAACAATCATATTAATAAGGACTTGATTATTTTAATATACACTTTTACTGAACACACACATGTTTTCATGTTATTGAACTGAAATAAATGATATATTACAAGGTTTCAAGACCTCTCAATTGGATGCCACTAATCAGACAAAGAAGAACAAAGATAAGGGCTGCACTTTACATTTTCACAAAAGGCTTGGAAAGCAACTTCTTGTTACCCACTTTAAGTCTTGTTCAGTATAAGCATACAAAGCTCCACATTTTCTCAGATTCAAAGGAAAAATTTTTTAAATTACACGGAAACAGATGTATGCGTTCCTACCCGCTGTGTCTTTTGCAAGTCACCTCAGTTTTAAATTGCTATTTCAGAAAATAACTGGCTTCTTTCTTTTTTAAGGTCTTCCTAAAACGTGCTGCAGTTATGCAATCCTTGCTTGATTTCTACCATTCCAGTCTAAAAATTAGCAGTCATTTTCAAGGCAATTGCAGCTTTGCCTGAGAAACACAGTGTTCTGGTACACAAGCCAATCTTAGAATTGCAGCTGAGCACAGCATGCAAAAGACTGATGAAATATCCAAAGTAATCAGCTACTATTATTTATTTTGTTGGATAAATGGCATAATCCAGTTTAAATGTATATACAAAGGATTGTCTTCCAGCCTAGAAGACCAAGAGCATCCAGTTTTCTCCGTCTTCATGTTTCCCACGGGGAGAGCCTAAAAGTTTTCTGGCCCTTGCAATACTCTGTCACAAACCAGTGTTACCTTAGTATGACTTGCATACTGATGAGGATGTTGTATTAACACAACAGGACTGCATCATGGCGACAATGTGAAAAAACACTAGTTTATGTAAGTTCACACCTACAGCAACAAGTGTGAGAGCACTCATTTTCTGCAATCACCAGACACAAAAATATACCGGTATCTCTCAACTCTTATAAATTCTAGCATCCCTTTGCAAGACTCTGAATAAAGTCTGAATTTTTTTGAATAAGATCGAAACTGCTTATTACCTGTTTTTCCAGCTCCACTCTCTCCTGTAATAAGGATACACTGGTCTTTGTCCTGGTCCCGTAAAGATCTGTATGCTTCATCTGACAGAGCAAAGCTGCAAAGTAAGAAAGAGTCAACTGAGAATTAGATAAGACAAATACCAACAATAATTACAATCTGTCCTTCACATTCAGCCAGGGGAAAAAAAAAGATAAAACCATGAACAAAAAAAGAACCCCAAGTCCTAATGTTCTGAAAGTGGTGAAGCATTCACTTTTCAGAATATAAAGACCCACAGAAGCAAAATGGATACTTTTTCTCAGTGGCTTATTTAGACTTCCTCCAGGAACAAGCAAACATAATCTCTAAGTTTTTCTAAAGACAGCAAGCTCAAAACAAGTTCAAAATTTCAGGGAAATTTAGGTAGCATTCTTCATTAAACAAAATGTCCTATTCTTCATTGTTCTGTCCGAAGGCATTTAAGAAAAAGGAAACAGGAGAATCCTGAGCACTAACAATACCATAAAGTGCAATTTCTACTCTGAAAAGTATGAGGAAATCTCAGAACCTTACAAAATATTGAGCACTTTAAGCATTTGGGTATTGCTGGACTTTTGCATAATTATGCAGAAGTACTTCCCAAGAACCGTGTTCTTAACTCAGTAAGGGTGATGTCATGTAGTGACATTAAAGAATATAGTAAGAATCAACAGCTTTCTTGTACCAAAAATGTCTTTCCATGCAGCTCAGAACATCATGACCCTGAAAATACTGTGCTGCAATTTGAAGCCAGAGGTGCTCTGTTGCCATGCAGCAATATGTATTTTGGAGAAATGCAGATGTGTTACTTATATTTAGGTTTTTTTTCAGTAGTAATTTTGAGACAGTAATATCGATTTTGTTTCAACTACATTTTTCAGTTCATGGAATGAAGGACTCTAGAAACTGAGCGTCAGAACCCCTTGGAAAAACTTAAGCAAGTAGTATCTGAAAAAGGACATAAAAGCAAAATCCAAACAAAAAGGCACACTTGTGTTACACAACTCAAAGAAAAAATCTGATAGCCAAACATGATGTATTTTTACATGAAATAAACTTCCATTCAAGAGACCAAGAGCTCAGTTAGATTACTGCACCTAGTAAAATATTTAGTGTTTGTGTGGACTTAAAAGGGGATATTGCTTATAATTTACAGTAAACAAACTATGTATGCAAAATAGAAATGAGCTCTCAGGTCAACATAAAACGCATAATCATTGCAGGTTCAATGCACCTTTTAGAAACTTGATTCTTTATTCGATGACAGCTCATGAGCTTGGCATTCAGCTGATAACAACAAACAGATCGAGTATTTGAATAACGCAGCCATACAGTGTTTTCACAGGCAACCACAGCCCCCTTACAGATAAGCAAGCTCTATGTCATGAAACTAGTTAGGGGTAGCATGGACAACACAATGCAAGTAGTGAGAGCCACACAGAGCCTTTTCTAGAGGCTCCTATTGCCACAGCTTGAAAGCTTCAGATATTAAACCTACATATACTCAAATTAGTTCATCTTTATTTCTTTTTTGCCAACATTGCCCCTTAGGCCAGGCAGTTCTTCCTTCTGGCTTCTCTCTCCCCAAAAGTTTATGGAGAGCATGTCATATTGTCCCTAGTTTAATCATCACATGCTTGTGCAACACCATTTATACTTCCTCATCCCTAATCAGTATTGGATTCATCTGATGTTTGCTTATTTGGGCTTTGGTTTTGTTTGCTTCTTTGTTTTTATGGTTGCATCATGTTATCAGCTCAGCCATCCTGCAAGAGACCAGCATACCAAGTTAGTGGTATTCTGAAAACGTTGGAAAACAGGTGAATGAAACACCTTACCGCTCCTTTACTATAAAACAATCACACCTTCCCATCTCCTGTCCTTTTCTCTCCTGCAGCACATCCGCCCATCTAGTTACATGACCAACCCAGGGCTCTGTGTCTCTCACAGCTTTTCTCACCAACTTAGATTGTCTAAGGCACTAAATTACAGTTCTTCCCCCTGCACAGATGCTTGGGCGATCCACCTAACCACCATCAAAGGCCATCAACTTCTTTTGATACCATACCATTGAACCCAAATTAAGACTGAACTCTCAAAACTTAATACTGCTACGGTGATTGAAGCATTTGAACTCAGTAGTTCAACTGGAGGTAAAAATGTGTTTACGAGAAAGTAACAGGCTGTAATGGTTTTAGCATTACAACAAAGTCAATTTCTGATGTGGCCAACATGCCGGAGAACAAGTAAAATAAAACATACTCTGCTGCTGCTGAGAGACCATGACACAATTTCTGGCATCCACTTTACTGTCCGGAATCCAAACTACAGTAGCAATAACACTTTACCAGACTCTCTTACAGGACATATTTAGGAAATGAATAATATTTGTTGAACGCTGCTGCTGATATACTTGTAAATTAAAGAGTACAATGTGTAGCACTCCGAAAAGCTTATTCCAGCACACATTACATTCCTTTTTGGCAGGCAAAAAAAAAAAAAAAGCAGTAGGATGAAAAGGAAAGAAATCAAACTGCTCTGAGCATTCATGGGCCACGTGGGAGAACATTGATAATAAATGCCGTGGTTTCCATGGGTTTTTTTCAGGAAACGCCTTTCAAACTTACAGACTGGATGGCTCATTCTGTGCCTGCTGTCCTTCAGACAATCTCAGTCATCAACTAGTATTTCACCGTAGAAACAACTTTCTTGGCAGTAGTTTCACGCCGGAAAATGAAGTCAGCACCAAGCACAGAGAAAGTATTCTCTCTGTTGATACACTGAGTTATTACTTAATCAGCTTAGTAACCATTCATCTTTTCTAATACACTGAATTTTAGTTCCCCAACAGCCCCTGTCAAAATGTATTTTACTGCTTGATGTATTTATTAACTCTGCCTGCACTGCACAGTTAAAAACACCAAATCATGCTTTTTCTCCAGCCTCAGCAAAGAAACTGAGAGTCTAATACTGCAATGAGATGTCTGAAGTTGTAGGAGAGAGTGGGATTTCATCCAGTTCTGGTTTTATCCAATCTAGTCAGAGACACTTAGCACACATTATCTTTTCCTCCAATCTTCTACACAATCCAGCAAAGCTTAACGCTTCACGAGTATATCAATTGTCATCTTCTACAGACAAAAGAAAAAATAAGTTGACTCATTTCAACAGAAGTTTTGCATACATACTTACCAAAAGTTACCTAGCAGAAGTGTTCTAAAATTTACCTCTGACATTTCAACCACTGCTCCAACAATTCAACTGGAGGAGGCATAACCAAGAGTGTATTTAAATAACTAAGATTTCTTTGTCTTTCTGGCATTGCATAAACAGCATTAGACACATTTATGTCAGAGCCTGAACAAAGATCTTTAACTCAAAGAAAAAGACAGATCTATTCATTTGTCATGTTGACTTTCATGGCACACCATTACACCTCGCAGTCCTTCCTATCTATTATTGCCTTTTATCTTTGCAATAAAACAAAAAAACAACTTTTGAGCCTTTTGGTTCAAACTCTATTTGTTCCAAAAATGTGATCTCATGCTATTCCCTATTTGTTACAACCATATAAAATAATTACATTTAAAGTCATTTGTTTAACACATTTTAATGATCCATAGACCACAAAGAATTCTTCTATTCTTTTTCTTTTAGCAACATTAAGAAATACGGCTCTGTAAAGTCAACATTTGCAACTATAGGTTTAAACCACATACCACTCTTTGAGCCACCTCACAATTACAGAGCCTAAGTAAAATTTTAGAATAGTTTGTAGTTTAAAAAGCAGTTATAAACCATGTGTTTTGAATTAGCTGGTGAGTGTGTCAGCAGTGTCATTTACCATACCTTATAATAAGCTCTCCTTTGATTTTTAGGTTTTCATAAAAGAAGACGACATTTTCCTACCACAACAGACACAGAAATATTTACTGGAGTTCTCTTTTAGCTAAGATGTAAGTATAGAAGCAATCTGAAATCCAAGTGCCACCCACACCTAGCTCAGTAATAAGGCTCTGCTTTTTTATAGCATGGCTTTTTCAGCCACATAGCTCCAGATGGCCAGATCTGTCACAAAGTCTTAGCCCAGAACTTCTAACAAAAGGAAACAGCAAATAGGCCTCCAAGGGGGATTTCCAAAGGGCTCCGGCAATTTTCAGCAGCACAACAGCATCTCTATGCTCTAACAAAACACCGGCGTCAGGAAGAGACTGGCGCAAGGTTCCCACCCGCTCACCCCAAACCGAGCATCAACAGCCAGCACTTCAACTGAACGCTCAAGATTGCACCTGCAATTACACTAGGGGTAAAAACCTTACTCCTGTTGTCATAAATTCAGCTCACAGGAGCAGCTCTGCTCTTCTACCATCTTTTTCCTTTAAGCCAAAATCACAAGGATCGGTATTTGCCAGCTATCGGTACTTCTTTCCTACTCTCATTTCCCTTAGCATTCTCAATTAACAGTAAGAAGTTAACACCATCTTAAACTCCCTCTGATTGCTCTTCTCGTGCACTAATAGAGCCAATTCCTTTCATCCCATCTTCACTGGCTGTTGCTTTGATTCCAAGAATCTCAGTCCCCATTTTAAAACATCTGTTGCTTAATCTTGGCTTGCAACTGCCAACTCATTTGCTACATTTAAAGAAAATTAAGAAAACCTCTCTTCTTGACCGTTCCAATTCCACATGAAGCAGAGCCCCGGTACCACTTCATTTCTGCTCAACTGTGTCTAAACACACTGGCGGGATACTAGAAGTCAGTGCTTATCAAAGACTATATACTATGCTAGACTAAAAAGAACAGCAGTAAAATGTAAATTGTACCTACAGTTTTAATGTAAATTTTACATAAAATGTAATTTATATTAATTCTTTCACATTTAAGAGCATCATTTAAGTTCCTTTTCATTCTGAATGCATAGAAGTGCTCAGTAACAGGGTAACTGCAAAAAAATTATTTCTTCTTCTCACAACATGCAGTGGCAAAACATCAGAATCACAGCTTTTGGGTATAAAAATTCCTAATAAGCTGATCTAGGAATAAAAATTCCTAATAACCTGAGCTAGGAACAGTGG